TTACTTGCCAAAAAGTGATTTTAAAATAATATGCAAATAGCATTAGTTTACAATATTTCTAAATTCGTATTGAGGGTCACCCTGGATAGGCAGTAGTGTTGAACATAGAATGATACAGAGCACAATGAAATTGTTTACATTATTAATTTTGTGTTCATTATTTATATTCTGTAACTACGTATCAAATTAAAGGAATCTGGCCGTTGTAAAAAGAGAAAACATGGTCAATAAACGTCACAATAAACCCTTTGGGAGAATACATGAAATGTTTGATAGTTAGGAGAATAGTTAGATAGTAAACAGTCTACTCCATTCCTATTCATACTTACTGCTGTTTATCTAATAGCAAACATTATTGCCGAAGTCGCACTGTTACTGTTTTTAGCAAATCGTAATTTGTGAAACTCATCGATCAGATGCATTTTCATACCTCAATTTGGTCAACATCAATTTAATCAATTTAAAACTCGCTTAATTTCCAGAAATCGGGAGTTATCTTAGTTTCACACTTTCTTCCTTACAAGTATCTTGGGCGATGATGATTCATTCATTTATATTCAAATTAAAGGTATGTCGATAATTTCTCTGCCTGTCAAGTGAATTATGCTTTTCTTAGTTATCGTGTTCGTATTTTATTTTTCTGAAACGTTTAACCCCCTTAACATCCTTCCTTATTCTTAATTCAGTCGACCCATCTGTAAGCATTTGTTTGAAAATTTGAAGACCTATTCAAATAAATTCTTCAACTCGTTAAGGCATAGCATTCTTTAATTATATTCTTCTTTTAATCTATAATAAATACGTTCATGAGGTCATCAATAGTTTTTTTGCTGTTCTCATTTACTCTGTTCTTCATTCTACATGATGAAAAATTGTCCGTATTTGCGCAAGATAACTCAACTCAAATAACACCGTCAATAACCCGGAATATACAATCTATACAATCTATTACTTCTATCTTACCTACTACTGCTCCTTCCTCTGACTCTGACCAAAATATTTCGCAGCCTACAGCAAATATTACCTTTGTTGTCACTCAAAATCTTGTTGCAGCAACAACAGTACCACCACCATCATCATCATCATCACCACCATCATCATCATCATCACCATCACCAACACCAAAATCATCATCAACAGCTCGTCAGGTTATTACAATAACGAGTATATCTACTGTTTATCCTTCAATTCCGGCTGCCCACAATCCGAATCTTCCCGCTGGTTCAAATAATGGTGGTTCGTCTCCCGATGACGGAGGAAACTCATCAGGTCTAGTGATAGGCGTTTCCCTCGTTGCTACTATTTGTCTCATAGGTGCTCTAACATCGTTTTGCTATTGTTATCGAAGACATCGTTTATTACAATATGATGATGATGGTGGTGAAGTAGTATTAAGGGTGGATCAGGATCCTTTCCAAAGTACATTGGACCAATATCATAGGAGTAGATATTAGTTAGATTTGTATAGTAGGGTACCTGGAAGCTTGTTCTATCATTTATTTTATTTTATTTTATTTTTATACAGTTGTAACCTGTTTGTATTATTTGGTTTTTATTATCACATTTTATATATTTTAAATATTTTAGCATTTATAGATTTAATAATGATAACTGGGGGTTTTTTTTTTTATTTGATACGGGCGGGGATCCCTTAACATCAAAGAAAATAATTTTTTAAATTTATATAATTTCTATATGATTCATATACTTTTGTTATATAAATTGCAAAAAAAACATAATTAAGAAACCTATTCATCTAATAAATGGATGGATTTGTATTATAAAAACTCTATATGTTTTACTGATTATAGTTAAAAATTTTTTGCAAAATGATACTATATAGATTTACTTAGTATTAGTACTGATACTTCTCTCGAGGCCATGTGCGAAAATAATTCAAATGTGCACATAGTATGGGTAAATTTGGGATTTGTCGAATTAAAGTCGATAATTGTACAATGTTTATGATTGAAACAGGAGGTAGCAAAATATTCAAATTCAAATTTAAAAAAAGAACATAAAACGTATCGTATTTATTTGTTCACGTGTTTATGTGCAAATCGAATTATTTTTAGCACCTAAACTGAATACGTATACAAATGATAAAAAAGGAATAAATATACTACAGATGCCGTACACTAAACGAGAAGTTTTTTATTTCAATTCTATAATTCATCAATCTTAGGTGATTGTTGAGATATCTTTGCTCAAAGTTTAAAAACAATGCTACAATCTATTGTATTTTGAGTTTTTCAAAATTTTAAGAATCTTAACATTTATCTAAAATCGATAAAAAATTTTTTTATTTTGATTATATAATTTGCCAGGATTGAAAAAACTTTATTAATTTTTAGATAGGTGGCTGCCCCCAATAAAAGTTTCAAAAAAATTAATTTGGATTCCACCCAATCAGGATGTGATTGTAGAATCACCGCATGAGTTATTATTTCTTTTTTTCGCCATTACTAGAGTAGAGTCCCGGATAATAAAGCTAAGAGTTATGTTCACTTTAAAAACTTGATTTGAAATTTTGTATTTTTGATTTATCGACAACGACGTTGTTGGGGCCCTTTAATCGACAACGACGTTGTTGGGGCCCTTTAATACTAAAGGGCAATTCTCAGTCACGAATCACGTTTTTTTAACAGATGCCCCGCGTAAGCGGGGCATCTGTTAAAAAAAATAATCATTTTAATTTTTAGGGTGCCAAAGGATCCTGGATGAGGGATCCTTTCCGGGATCTCTGTTAAATTTTAAATTTAACAGAGATCCCTGTATTA